AACACTCTCCTTCCCCGATCCCCAACACTCTCCTTCCCCTAACCCCAACACGCTCCTTCCCCTATCCCCTCTTGTGTCCCCTCAGTCTTCTGTGTCCTCCGAGACTCTTTTGCCCTCTGTGTCCCCCGAGACCTCCAATGACTCTTTGACCTCTGTGTCCCCCGAGACCTCCAATGACTCTTTGACCTCTGTGCACTCCTATGACCCCCCCTATCACCCAGCTCCAGCCCGGATCAGAGAAGGTATTTATATTGCTCTCCATCCAGACAACGTCGCCCACCAGGAATAATCCTCTGCTGGAGGACAGAGAGATGGGATGCTGGGTCCATTGTATATTTGCATAACTCCTCCCATGCTCCACCCCACTGCTTGCATCAGGGCTGAGGGCTCTCGAGAGCAGTACTGAGGCTGGGTGCTGTGATATGTTCAGGAAGCTATGTACAGCACCCTGTCGGCTCCTCCCACCAACCATGACCTGCCTGCATTGCATAGAGAAGCACAGAGACCCAGTGATGACATCACCAGATATAAAATAAGGAATGTGATGAAAAAGGAAAAAGGGGTTCTTTGTAAAGTGTCATTTTCATGTTTATGAGGGGAAGGGGGAGGAGCCAGGGAAGCCAAAATATAAGCAGATTAAACTTCATCTTTAATAATATGAAATATAAACTGTCTGAGCAGCAATGACAGGAGTCACTTTGTAACAACATCGGAGTCGTCATCAGAGGGAGGAGCTGAAGACGGGAAGATGGACGGGTCACATGGGGGGGGGGTTCCCGGATCTCAGCTCCTCAGACAGGACCAGCGGCAAGGGACCCAGCCCACCAGGCCCCACCCATGACTGCAATAATATTTTTGGGTGGATTGACTCTTTGGAAGGGGAACCCCAGGAGGTCGCAAGTTATTTCCTTCATTCCGGAACTTCCATCCGTGAGCAGAGAATTATCGGAAGACCCGGAGCGGTATCCGGACAGATCACAAACTGACTGCAGGCCCCTGAGAGGATAGGCGGGCCCCCAGACTCCTCCGGGGCCGGACGGATCTGGTCAGGGCTTGTTGGCTTTCCAGGAGAGGTAGGCGTTCCAGATGATGGCAACGCATTGTACCACCGCCAGCCTGGAGAGGACAGAAAGGACAGGGATGACGCATGTGTACAAGGGCCCGACCCCGAGTGTAAGGGGCCCTACGGAAAGTTTTATGACTAATACCGCCCACGCAGCGCTTCGCACCGCCCACAACACTCACGCGGCGCCTCCTACTGCCCACACAGCACCCCATACCCCTCACCCAGCACCCCATACCTCTCACCCAGCACCCCATACCCCTCACCCAGCACCCCATACCTCTCACCCAGCACCCCATACCCCTCACCCCATACCTCTCACCCAGCACCCCATACCCCTCACATGGTGCCTTCTAGCGCCCACAACACTCACACAGCACCTCCTACCGCCTACACAGCACCCCGTACCCCTCACCCAGCACCCCTCACCCAGCACCCCTCACCCAGCGCCCTGTACCCCGCCTACACAACGCCTCCTACCGCCCACACGGCGCCTCATGTATCACATGACTACCATGCTTACCCAGGCAGGACTATGACACATCACACGTACCTGTGATAGAGAGGGATGAAGTAGAAATTGGCAATTTGGACTGCAGGCCAAATCTGAGGAGAACAAACCAATACAAAATAAATACAGCAATATACACAGAGGACTGTACCATGCCAGGGACAAGTGGGGAAGATTGGACTGTACCATACCAGGGACAAGCGGGGGAAGATTGGACTGTACCATACCAGGGACAAGCGGGGGAAGATTGGACTGTACCATACCAGGGACAAGCGGGGGAAGATTGGACTGTAGCGGGGGAAGAATGGACCGTACCATACCAGGGACCAGCGGGGGAAGATGGGACTGTACCATACCAGGGACAAGCGGGGGAAGATTGGACTGTACCATACCAGGGACAAGCGGGGGAAGATTGGACTGTACCATACCAGGGACAAGCGGGGGAAGATTGGACTGTACCATACCAGGGAAGAGCGGGGAAGATTGGACTGTACCATACCAGGGACAAGCGGGGAAGATTGGACTGTACCATACCAGGGACACAGCGGGGAAGATTGGACTGTACCATACCAAGGACACAGCGGGGAAGATTGGACTGTACCATACCAGGGACACAGGGGTGAACTCAGAGACAAGGGACAGGGTGGACTATACCATACAAAGGACACAGACTTATAGACAAAGGGGAAGATTGGACTGTACCATACCAGGGACACAGCGGGGAAGATTGGACTGTACCATACCAGGGACACAGCGAGGAAGATTGGACTGTACCATACCAGGCACAAGGGGGGAAGACTGGACTGTACCATACCAGGGACAAGCGGGGAAGATTGGACTCTACCATAGCAGGGACAAGTGGGGAAGATTGGACTGTACCATACCAGGGACACAGCGGGGAAGATTGGACTGTACCATACCAGGGACACAGCGGGGAAGATTGGACTGTACCATACCAGGGACACAGGGGTGAACTCAAAGACAAGGGACAGGGCGGACTATACCACACAAAGGACACAGACTTATAGACAAAGGGGAAGATTGGACTGTACCATACCAGGGACACAGCGGGGAAGATTGGACTGTACCATACCAGGGACAAGCCGGGAAGATTGGACTGTAACATACAGGGACAAGCGGGGAAGATTGGACTGTACCATACCAGGGACAAGGGGGAAGACTGGTGTACTCAGATTTAAGGAGAAGACTAGGGGTGGGGATAGAGACAGATGAGGGGATCGGACTGTTCTATATAGGAGATGTAGGGGTGGGGTTAGAGACAGATGAGGGGATCGGACTGTACCATATAGGAGATATAGGGGCGGGGTTAGAGACAGATGAGGGGATTGGACTGTGCCATATACGAGATGTAGGGGTGGGGTTAGAGACAGAAGAGGGAATTGGACTGTACCATATAGGAGATATAGGGGCGGGGTTAGAGACAGATGAGGGGATTGGACTGTGCCATATACGAGATGTAGGGGTGGGGTTAGAGACAGAAGAGGGAATTGGACTGTACCATATAGGAGATATAGGGGCGGGGTTAGAGACAGATGAGGGGATTGGACTGTGCCATATACGAGATGTAGGGGTGGGGTTAGAGACAGAAGAGGGAATTGGACTGTACCATATAGGAGATGTAGGGGCAGGGTTAGAGACAGATGAGGGGATTGGACTGTACCATATAGGAGACATAGGGGTGGGGTTAGAGACAGAAGAGGGAATTGGACTGTACCATATAGGAGATGTAGGGGCAGGGTTAGAGACAGATGAGGGGATTGGACTGTACCATATAGGAGACATAGGGGTGGGGTTAGAGACAGAAGAGGGAATTGGACTGTAACATATAGGAGATGTAGGGGCGGGGTTAGAGACAGAAGAGGGAATTGGACTGTACCATATAGGAGATGTAGGGGTGGGGTTAGAGACAGATGAGGGGATCGGACTGTACCATATAGGAGATATAGGGGCAGGGTTAGAGACACATGAGGGGATTGGACTGTGCCGTATAGGAAGCGCATGGGTGGGGTTAGTGATGGAAGGAGCCTGGGCCATACCATGTATCAGAGAGGAATGGGGGTGCTGAGGGCACACGTCGTCCGTATACACTTACATAGTAGTTGGTGATTAAGGCGTCCTTGTAATCCTGCAACACACAGAGGAGGACAATGATGACCAATGAAGGAGGAGCCCGGCATGGGGGCTTCATTCATACACGCCCACCTTCCCACCATTACCTCTAGTGTACACAGCAAGGGGAGCCCCGCCCCTGCTCTGCCAGCCCCGCCTCTGAACTGAAGGACCCACCCAGGAGTGCTTTGGGCTGGAAGTGACATCATAGTGTGCCTGGGAAGGAACTCTGATGTGCAGCCTTATATGGCAGGTGAGTGAACAATGACCAGAGGACAGCCTCTATCAGGGCCCCTCACCCAGGACAGCCTCCATCAGGGCCCCTCACCCAGGACAGCCTCCATCAGGGCCCCTCACCCAGGACAGCCTCCATCAGGGCCCCTCACCCAGGACAGCCTCCATCAGGGCCCCTCACACAGGACAGCCTCCATCAGGGCCCCTCACACAGGACAGCCTC